TTTGTAAACCTAAGGATTAACTCTAATCCCTTTGTAGCACACAGCCTCAACTGTTGCGACAACTTCAAGTTAGCCTATAACTTGGATACTCAAAGTACCTATTACAATTGCTTCTATAAAAGCTGAAAGGTACAACTTTAATCCACCTACTACAATTGAACTAGAAATAAAGAAAGACATATAAAACTCTTTATAGAGCTGGTTCTTCAATCTTGTTCAAGTAGCTTCAGGAGTACACACTTAAATATCACATAAATTGTTTGCAAAATCGCCTTGCTCTTTTGCTCTCAATTTAGTTTAACTTCTGCGTATGTGCAATGCCTGTAAAAGAGAACAATCACTGTTATTTAATGAGTTAGTAATTAGAGTTTGATTGAGACTCAATTGCTGATCTTCCATCCAAGTTGAGTCCTTGAACAACACAAACTCCAACCCTATCTTTTATCCAGATTGTATTCTCTTCTCATAAGGAGACTTTCTCTCCTTATCCCATATGCAACCTTTTCGATCAGTTCAGGAGATATTGCTGCTTGATCAATGAGACTTATCTCCTTCACGTGCATCTCACATGTATAGGTTGACAAACACTGTGCTTCACATGATGGACCTGGTCCATGACTGAGTTCATTTGTCATTCTTCAAAACTTCACCTGTTCTTGGGCCAACAGTTCCCTTAGCATATTGTGACGTATTCGTTCTGATTTTGGATAGATTCGACGCGTGTGGAGGCCGATTCGAGGGGCAAAGGCGTCGCGAGCTAGAGATTTAGCCGGTTCGAGGTGAGTAATGGTTGTAAATGATGTTCTGAGGGTTTGAAACCTCGGATTGCACATCGTAGTGCTATATTGAGGTGAGGCACACGCTTATTGACGAGCGTGGGGTCGTGCACTATTTGGGGATTGTGAATTGGTCCGTCCCGATTGATGATTTTACTGCGTATTTGATTAAAATCTATGTGCTATCATCATTATTTGGGCTGAATGCCATATTTGGGCTCCATGCCAATTATTTGAACCCTTCGGGGACTGTTGTTGATGTTTCCTCACTGTTTTGACTTTATACTTGAACTCAGTCATGTTATTTCCACTGTTTTCAGAAACTCAGCCATGTTTACTCTGTTTTAATACTCAAATGATATTTAAATGATGTTTTGGGCTGAGAAATACTGTTTTACTGTTGCCCGAGAGGCTTATGTGATTTTTGACTGAGTAAGGCCGAGGGACTGTGTTGTGAGGATATCTTTGGGATCGGGCTGCACGCCGCAGTGGTGATACACTGATACTGATTATGAGGCCGAGGGCCTGAGATTGTACGCCACGAGGTGGCTTGATATTGATATGAGGCCGAGAGCATGTTTATGATGCCACGAGATGGCTTGATATTGCGCTTGGGCCGTAAGGGGCCCCTCCAGGAGTCTGCACACCCCCAGTGAGTGCGGGTACCCAGTGTGATGTGAGATGTAGCCCGAGGGGCTGGTTTTGTTCTATGTGATTGCCCGAGAGGCTGGTACCGTTCTGAGATATTGCCCGAGGGGCAAATTTGTTGATATTGTGCCCGAGGGGCGAACCTTATGTGCTTATCTTTCTTATATGCCTGTCATTTAATTGCTTAATTATGTATTTGTGCCCGAGGGGCGGATTTCTGTGCTTATTTGCATTAGTTGTTATGCATTCATTTGCGCAACTGTTGAAAAAGTTATTTTAAAAAGGGTTTAAACTGAGCCAAGATGTTTTAAAGGATTTTACAGCTTTATTGCTTTCATACTGGTTTTGTACCACTTCTATACAGCATGTTGATGCACTTTTCGTGATTTCTTATCACTCAGTCTTTATTTATGATTATTACTCACTGACTTGGAGTACTCACTTTACTCCCTGCACCATGTGTGCAGATTCAGGTATTCTACACCCGATAGCGGGTTTTGGGCTGATCGGAGAGTTATCGGAATTTAGCAAGGTAGCTGCCGGCGTTCGCAGCACTGCTTTTCTCCCTCCTTAATTTTTATTAGTCTGTACTTAGTACATTCCGGACTTTGTCAGTTGTATTTAGACTTAGTAGATGCTCATGACTAGTGACACCCCGTTTGGGCTGTGCGTGGGTGGTACTTCCGCATTGTTATGATATTATCCGCTGTTTAGCATTATTAAATCACGCTATAGCCTGTTGTATTGCTGTTTAGCTATTTAACTTCGAATTGGAAATGTGTCGGCTGGCCTTGTCTTCACGAGAGGCGCCATCACGACCGGGTCTGGGTATAGGGTCGTGACACCCTCGTACTTGCGAATCAACATCCGCTTTTGCGCAACCGCAAGTGCACAACCAAACACGCTCATGCGCTAAGTCTCGCTCTTGCGCCCAAGCTTTTCGCTTCTGCGCGGCCGCAGATGCGCCCCTATTCCCGCTTCTGCGATCCATTTCAACCAGGCCTTCCTTCACTTCTGCGAACAACCGTTTGCATCTACAGACTCGCATCTGCGTGCATCCTTTCGCAGATGCGGAAACACCAGAATCAGCAGCCTTCAGCAGCAGCAACATGAAGAAGAATGATCCGAAATCAAATCTGAAACACACCGAGCCCCTCAGCACCCCTTCCAAATATACCAAAAAGTCTCATAACATACCACGGACCTACTCGAGGCCTGCAAACACACATAATAACATCAAAACGATGAATCACACCTCAATTCGAAATCAATGAACTTGAAACTTCAAACTTCCACAACCAATGTCGAAACCTATCAAACCGTGTCCGATTGACCTCAAATTTTGCACACAGACACATTTAACATTACGGAGCTGCTCCAACTTCCGAAATCGGAATTCGACCCCGATATCAAAAAGTCCACTCCTGATCAAACTTTCCAAAATTCCAACTTTCGCCATTTCAAGCCAAATTCCACTACCGACCTCCAAATCAAACTCCGGACGCACCCCTAGTCTGAAATCACCCAACGGAGCTAATGGAACCATTAGAAATCCAATCCGAGGTCAAATTCTAAAAAATATCAAACTTGTCAAACCTTTCAAATTTAAAGTTTCTAGCTGAGAACCATTCTTCCAAATCAATTCCGAATAACCTGAAAACCAAAACCGACGATTCACATAAGTCAAATACATCATACGGAGCTACTCAATCTCGAAAACTGCTGAGCGAAGTGCAATCGCTCAGAACGACTGGTCGGGTCGTTATACCATTGTCATTAGTATGATGCTTGAGTATATTTTGAAAATGTGTTTCTTGCCATTGTGCTTAATTTTGAAAGTTGCTCGAGGACGAGGACGAGCAAGAGTTTAAGTGTAGGGTGTTGATAAAAGGCCAAACATGCATATTTTTCAGTGTACATTCATCTCATAACTTGTGTGGTTACGGTAGGTTACATGAGTTTTTGTAGTGAATTATTCTCATTATGTGCATTCTTATGTGTAGGAGCAAGTTGGACAAAATGTGAGCAAAAGAAGTTGATTCGGAACCAAAAGACAAAAGAAGGACTTTCCTCGTTCACTCTCGCATGCATACGAGAGAGTGAATGAGCTAGCTGAGGAAAAGCTTGAGAAAAAACAGCTAAGTATGGAAAAAAGGCATGGAAGTGCACGAGAGACTTAGAAGGAAAAGAAAAATAGAAGAACTTCACTCATTCACTCTCGCGTGCGCACGAGAGAGTGAACGAGCTATCCTAAAAAGGGAGTTTCGAAGTGGGTGTGTATTATTTTCGCCCCATGCTAATCCTATACCATATAAATAGTCCTTAAACTCACTTTTGAGAGGGGGAGACGTTTCTAGAGACCGAAGAGAGACGACCTAGAGAGAGACGACCTAAAAGGGGACGTTTTTAGAGAGGGATATCGAAAAAAGGAGGCAAGAACACACTAGGAGCAAGGCGGAGAGTTCTTCTACGAGTTTTTCACTTCCTTCTTCCTATTTTCATTATTGGTTATGTATTCTAGTATTGTAGTTTTGCGTGCTATTATGAATAACTAATTTGTTATCTAGGATTTTGATGGAACCTTTTGTAGGATGAATTCTTATTAAATTTTTATATAATTAAGTCGTTGGATTTCTCTACTTGTACTTCAAATACGTGTTTATTGTTGTTGATTGAATGGCCATCAATTAACTGTGCTTATTTAGTGTGTGTATTGCTCGAGAGAGAGTACGCATTTAGGTAGTTGTTGAACAACATCACTCCTAACGCATGTGAGATCAATACAGAGGGTTTAAAGGCGGGATTAAAGATAACGAAACCTTGGTGCGATCGTCGTGAGTGGTGAATTAGTGCCAGCTAGCGTAGTTTGAGTGAATACGTCATCTAGTAAATTGTGGTAGTTGCTCGAGAGAGAGCTACGACACCCAAAGTACTTACGATCAGTAGAGAATACTTAGGCGAAATTATAGAAGATGTAGTGGGAAGGATTCCGACAGTCGGAAAAATCATAACTCTAGACCTCCTTAATTTAGTCTTCAACCCTTAATATATTTAGTTATTAATTTATTATTTTAATTTGTTAGTTAATTAATTAGTTAGGTATAAGAATCTTAATATTTATAACTTAGAAACTATTCGAGCTTGTCTTCTTAGTGATATTGAACTGTTTTAGCTAAGCCGTTGTTCTCTGTGGGATTCGACTCCGTCTTGCAGACCCGGTTACATTTGCAGCGATCGCTTACCCTTTTTAGGACTAGAGTTGGGCGTGACGCACTTCCCCCTCTAATGGACTTGTACGACATGAATCTAAATTAACCGAACATCAAGTGGGTAAAAAGTTGAATTTTATTAAAAGGAGAATGTTATATATAGTCCCTATACGTTGGTTGTTCTAAGAGTTTTGTACTTCCTCTGTCCAAATGTATGTGGCATAGTTCAGATTTCGAAAGTCATTCTATAATTCGATTGCTAATTTAGATTGAAATAATATTTATATATTTGGAAACTACATAAAAAGTTCCGAAAATAACAATAATTAATAATTTAAAGTATTTGAAAGATATATGAAGATTATAATAACAAAAACTTGTTTTGACTCTTGCAATTCGAATGATACCACATAAATTAGGAGGAAAGGATCGGAGTACTAGCTAATAGCACCGTTGAAAACTAAATTACTCCTTACATAAGATAGAGTGACAACATTTGCAACCTTAGCTTCCATACAAGCTAGTTCATACAACAACTTTTTCTAATTGTTCTTTTCGAAGTCCCCCTACTCATTGATCATAATAGCAACAAACTAATCATCATAAGTTTACATCTTCACTACAACCAGATCATGTCAATAATTTCCCACAATCAAAGTCACCCATTTTCAGCATAGTCTCAATGGTAAATTGAGCCAGGAATTTCTCTCTCAAGTAGCTAATCACCTTCCCATTACTTTCTTGTGCCAAACCAACCAAATAAGAAGTAGTAATAAGGTTAAAAATCCTCCATCTTCTCTCTTTTGCATACTTCTCCAAACCAACTTTAATTCTATTGTATAATTCATCATCTTCTAATTTCTCCAGCATTCCTGTTGGTAATTTTATTGAAAAAGTTTCAGCAATGCACCTAGCAAGAACCACACTATCTTCTAATGCTGAACATCCACCTTGACCAATATCAGGTGTCATTGGGTGAAGTGCATCACCAACTAGACATGTGTTTCTTTTGACAATATTGTCTCTCATTAAAATGTTCAATGGCGATCTTAATTTTAGTTTGGCACAATATAGGCTATCTAGTGAGGTTCTCTGTAGGATATTGTATGCTTCTTTTGACACGTTGCTGGCCATACTTAGCACAAATTGCTTCATTTTGATTGGACTTCCTTCTATCGATTCATCGTCTGAGATGCATGCAATTCAAAAGCGTTACATGATTGATCAGACAAAAAAGCCAGAGATTATTGGTACAGAACACAAATAAAAGGAAAAGAAAAAGAAAAGCAGACATCAAACGACAAAAGATCAAACGGAAAGTTCTGATTATCTCCTGTGGAAAGAGTACACAAATAAACCGGTCGTATTATCTTCCGTGGAAATCTTAGATAAGTAAAATAATTAGCACGAAAGAAGTCATTTTTTATGAAATTATTTTACAGAAAACATATAGTATATCTTTTTTGAAATTCATAAGAAATTTATTATAATATTAAAAATAAGGAGAGTGAGGTTAAGATACTTGTAAGAACACTTCCATCCATAAAAAAGGAAGTTATTTTCCTCATTATGATAACATTTTCTTCAAATAACAGTTTTAATAACTAAATATCAGAAAATAAATTTCTCGTAGAATATTCCGTGGCAATGCATTATCTTCCGTGGAAAAAGTAGAGTAATAAAATATTGTCTCATTTATCTTGGGTGGAAAAGGCATAATCTCATTATCGACCTTTAGTGGAAAGAAAAAGGTATGTTAATAATTGATGCAGAACAGAAGCTAAAGGAGGTAGCAGGCTTACAGTTGACGGCAGACGGAGTAAAAGTGCAAAACCAGTACAAGCTCTTGTAATCACAGGGAAGGAAACCAATGCGAACTCCTCCTCCAAAATAAGCGCAGAACTTTGGCTCGAAACCGTGACTTTCTGGATACTCAACGTATCCCCGAATCGCTGAACGATTTGCATCAACTAGTTTCTGGAGGCCCATCCACTTAGCCACCACTGAGTTCACACCATCACATCCTATTAACACCTTCATGCAAAGCAGTATTGTTCAGTTTTTTCTTTGGGCCCAGTTAACCCCCAAAAAATAAAAAGAAGAATATATATTCACCTTGGTTCGAAGAACAGTTTTGTCAGCCAAATGTAGCAACTTGAATAGTCCAGAATCTTGGATGGAAACAACACGGGAAGAATACTTGATAGTTCCTGGAGGAAGTTCTTTCTCTAAAGTCTCCACTATCTCCTGTCTTTTCATACAACGGCTGTCGTAATCTCTACTGTATAACACAAAGAGTTGTATTGTGAGATTTGACAAGTACGTACGGATATGTTATATATATATATATATATATGGAATGATCAATGCTCAAAATATCAAAAACTTAGAGTGTAGCTTACGGTTTCTTATTTGCATCTAGGGAAATCTCTGCAGTAGGCTTGCCTGAAACTGCTGAAAATGCCTCGAACCTACAGAAATTAAAAGCTCATTAAATTCAAGCTGAGATATCATGACACTAACAACTCTATTCTTAAACGATATCGATCTTCATCTGAATTTATGATTTCTTATAAAAACCTCAAGTTAATATATAATAATAACCGAATTCAGCTTATGGCCGGTGGCCTCACACGTACCGACTAAACTGGAGAGAACGTTGTCTAAGGGAGTCTCCAACGCCAAGAGCATCGAGTGCCCTCCAGGCGTTGGTCCATAATGCAAGGGCAAATCCTGATGTTCGTAAAGAGTCTGATGATTCCAACACTAAGCTCCGCAACCCCAGCCTAAAGAACAAAATAACCATCGGTAGTTCTATTAAAAACACGTAACGACCATGCACCAAAATATAACCATATATAGGCGAATTTATTTGGTGTCGAATTCATGTGTTCAACTGAATCCATTAAATCATTACTTAAAATAATGAGGTTGTATAGAAAAAATGAATCCATTACTTTCATCAGCTTGAATTATGTATAGATCGAAAGAAACAAAAAAAGTTATTAATTAAAATGCATATACTATTAAGATCATACTAGTTCTGAACTTATTGATTTTAGATCCTAAATTACCTATGATAATAACATATTTCTTATCATTT